CCTGACCTCTGCTAGTCAATGTATTCTAGCTCCTAGCTATATTCAAAGACTGTTTTTAAAGGAATCCTCTCCGAGGTAAATGCAGGCCTTTTCACTCTGAGCAGTTTTGCTAGGATAAAGAACCCCTTAACACTTTTCCTTTACAGATGCTTCAGTTTTTTATAATCAAATCTGGCTGCCACACTTGATCATGGTCAGCAGCATAGAGATTTTATCAGTCTCTGTTTGATATACAGGTACCACTGCTGATTAGCACAGAGCTGAGATAGGTTGTGTACACCAAACTGTCATGTAAACTCCCAAATTATTCTTTGTCTGGTTTCTGGCTTGTTTTAGAGACAAGTACAGTGGTGTTTTGTGTTCAGAGTTTTGTTCTGAGATTGAGGCAAAGACTAACTCAAGGCATTCAGTACTGCGGAATTTTAGGAATTTTCTGGTATTTTACAATGTTAATTGCCTAATCATCAGAACAGCAAATGTCATCTCATATAAAAGAATAGATGATAGAGCCAGAAGGAACTGTTGTGATCATTTTTGTCTGACTTACTGCATTACACAGGCCAGAGGAATTTTTATAAGAACTGGAACAAGACTTCAAAGGCGACAAAAAATCTGATCTTGATTTAATCACCAAATACAGAGAATCAGCCAGAATGCTTGGTAAATTTTCCAGCAGCTAATTGCTGCCATTGTTAAACAACTAATTGCACTGCACTTCATTTCTCTTCTGTCCTCTTTCAAATTGGGTCATTTGACCTTGTTGCACTCTTGTCTGATGACAAGCACTTTAATTACATTGTGTTCCCTGTCTTGGACCCTAAAAATTGTGATCAAGTTTCTTCCTTAACTTTCTTCTTGGGAAAATAACCAGTAGACTCCTGAAGTCTCCTTTTCTTAGCTATTCACAGATGTTCATCCAGTTCTGGGCTCCACAGCACAAGAGACAGATGGAGCTACTGGAGCAAGTCCAGCAAAGAGCCACCAAAATGAATAAGCTGCTGGAGCACTTTTCGTATGAGGAAAGGCTGAAAGAACTGGACCTGTTGAACTCCGAGAAGAGAAGGCTTTGGGAAGAACTTATCAGTTAGTACAAATACCTGAAGGGAGGGTGCAAAAAGGACAGAACCAGGCTCTTAGTGGTGTCCAGTGACAAGATGAGAGGCAAAGGGCACAATCAGAAACACGGGAGGCTCCCTCTGAGCATTAGGAAACACATTTTTCCTGTGAAGCTAACTGAGCACCGGCACAGGTTGCCCAGAAAGGTGGTGGAGTCTCCTTCCTTGGGGATATTCAGAACCTGTCTGAATGTGGTCCTGGGTAACTGGCTGTAGGTGGCCCTGCTTGAGTGGGGCAGGGGATGGACCAGAAGAGTTCCAGAGGTCCCTTCCAGTCTCAACCCCTCTGTGATTCAGTGATTCAGAGTCTTTCTTACATGTCAGACAGCAAGATTTAGCTACAGTATTTTGGTAGAAGGTGCATCAGGGCTAAATACCAAATGCACAGTGAATACTACACCAGATATAGGAAATGAAGGCAAAGCTGAGCCACAGAAGAAGTTAGTGTCAGAGCCAGGATATGACCTGCTGCACTGCTCCTTGCTCTGGCCACACTGCGTGTGCACAGGTCTTCATTTCTTAGAAAAGTAAGACCTACCCATTTCAAGGATTTTGGCTAGAGAATTTCAAAGTGTTTTATCTATATATTTCCAAGTGGGTGAGAATCTGAAGCAGAGAAAGATGGTGCAGCTTACATGACGTCACCCAGCAGCGCAGCCAAATAGTTGGCTACACAACTTGGCTTTTTAAAACACCAGAAGCAAAGATTCATCCATTCCCCCTTGCCGCCATGCAGGAGCAGGCTTGCTGAATAGCAAACTCCATTTGCAGAAGTACTTTTGAGTTGAGTTGAAACCAAACTGGGTGTGGAGAATTTCCTCCAAACTCTAAGAACAGTGATGGTAAATAGAAGTAAAAGAACCTTAAAGGGATTTAGGGTTACCGAGGTACTTTTTTGTGCCTGTCAGTTTATTGTGCTGCAGGTCACTTTTTAGCTAGGTCAGTGGTTTGAGGCTATCTAGTCAAATGAGTGGCAAATTTTTGCTCTGAATGCAATGCTTCAACAAAGCTCCACAGATTTATGCTAATATAAACCTCTTGGAAATTGTGCTTTCTCGGCAGACCTAACAGAGGTTATGAACAGTACTTCTGAAATCAGCATTTAAATAACATTTCAAAACCACTAGAAACCTCATTATCCTGAATATATCACTTTAGTGGTCATACAAGTAGTGAAAACACTGTGAAACAAATGTGTGACTTGTAAATGGGAAAGAACAACAGTACTGCCTAAATACTTTGTTGCTAAACATCTAATTGACCACTAGGTACCTTTACAGATCAGTGCATTTGCTGAAACTTGGTAAGGTAAGAGCAATCCAGAGATAAATATCTGTCCTATTGTATGGGGCTTTCTTTCTGAACTTCAACAGGTTCAGCCTTTAATAAAGCCTTTAACAATGCAAATAACGATGTCTTGCAGTAATCCAGGTTTATGTAGGAATGTAGAGCAAAATCTGTAACCGTCATTAAAAGAAGTTGCGTTTTTGCATTTTTCCATTTTATTTCTGGAAATGTAACTCTCAGTCCCTACAAGACTGGAGTTTATGTTTTTAGGTACATGTGCATATGTGGCTTTCCCAAATCCCCCCTTACTGCAGGTATACCAATCTACTAGAAAAACTATTCTTCTTATGCATGTTTTTAGTTACCATTTTCTGCCTATTCTTCATGAAAAAGCAGAAGTGTGAGAGGCTGTAGCCTGACCTGGGGCAGGGAAGGGACCTGTAACCTCTCTTCCTCATGAGCCTTGGATGTCTCCTTGGTAAGGAGAGATCTTGAACTCTATGGTAGGGATGTGGCTATGTCTCTGGAGGTCTCCACCATCATCTCCCCATCTTCATCATGCAATGGCATTGTACTAGTTCATCTGCCATCTATGAAACCCGTTCCTGGAAATAGGAACACATGGTTCTTCAGTGGAACTAATAATGCTCCTTAATGGTGTGCACCCCCACGTCTGCCAGGTACAGATGTTTGCTGGATGGCATTGTGCAGGTAACAATATAGGCAGGGTATAAAGCAACAATCTGGTCCTTTAAACCTGTGGAATTGTGGAGCTAAGGTGTGAAGTGGGCTGAAAATTGCACTGAGGTTGCTGAAGCTCAGGTACACTTTCTATTCTCCCAGTGTGTCTTGGGCAGACACCAAGAAGCTGGCAGGGATGATGGTTTTTGCAGTGCTCTTGGTCAGTGAAGTACTTTACCTCTGAACACATCACTGCCAGTGACACAGGGCTCCTTGCCTGAGTGAAACCATGTCTGCCTCTGGGTGATCATACACCCCATGCTTTAGTGAGGTGTCTCCCACTTGTCCTCCTCACTTCTTTGAAAAGACATTTCCACATTTTGTAATTGACATTTGCTGTGACATTTTCTTCTTTTTCAAGGTCAGCTGGTGACCTTTGACCTATCCCTTCCTACCTACCTCAGTGACTCTGTGGCATCAGGGAAAACAGATTCACTGAGAAGCCATTCTCTGAAGTGAGTGAGCTCCCACAGACTTGGTAAAAGTGTTTAGATCTTATTTATTACCATTTTTATTTCTTTACCCTCCCCCTGGGTGTTTTATTAATTCTTTGTTTTGCCTGTCTCATTTAGCAACATTTCTATAGGTTGCATTTTTGGGGGATTTTTTTTTGGCCTTCTGTGTAAAGCAGTGTGATTCACACTGTATTTTTCTGCTCAGTGATCTCTCCTGGTTCCTCACCCCATGTTCTCCACTGATCAGACCCATTGGTGATTAGATGCTCAGAAGAAGTGATTGCAGAGCCTTTGACACCTTGCATCCCCTGCTGCCTGGATTTCAAAGAAGTAATCATTCCCAGGGACCCACCACTGACCCTTTGCTCAAGCTTTTGTCATTCACCTTTTGCTGTCTCTTTTCTTAAAGAGCTTGAAGTATCTTGATTCTTTTGCTAGGGGAAAAAGGACACATGCACTGAAATCATAATGACTTTACCATAATTTCAGAGTACTTTCCCCTGAAATGATATCAGATAGTACCTCTGTATCACATCTCTAACACCTTTTGAAGTGAAATCTTCAGCTCCTATTCGGAACTTCAGCTCCCTTTTGTTCGCTCAAAGCCAAGGGGACTGTCAGTGAGATGGAGAGGTGGTTCAGTTCAATACCTGCCCTTTTTTAACTCCTTGTGCCCTGGGAGCAGCAAGTGGAGGGGCCTCATTGTCAGGCAATGTGACTCATTCCGAAACTTCAGCAGGATTTCAAAAGGACTTGAGTGCAGACAATGAAGCTGTTTACAGTGGTATCTGTGAATAAATGAAACACAAAACTGAGAAGGACATCTGAGCCCTCAGCCAAACTGACTTGGAGATCACGAGGAAACTTTTTTCCTGGGGCTTACTGTATGATTTCTTGAACTGAATTGTCTGACCGTGGCCAAGTCTGCTCTTTGGAGTCAATGTCGTCTGAGTTGCAGATAATATCTAGTGTCTTAAAGACTGACAAGATACTTTTACACATTTTGCACATTTTATTTGAATTCTTATGAACGATAAAAAGGCAGTTAAGACTAAATAAACATATTAGTGCTATTTAGATTATTTAAATGGCCATGCTTTCTCTAGAGAATTAAAACTGTACATCAAAAATCCTAAAGGCTATATTAAATCAATTGCGAACACAGAGAAAATTGACTTTGAACAGTATAAAAATGAAAAGTCCTATGACTCTTCTCAAAGCCCCTTGATATGTCTTTAATGAATCCTTAGGAAAAAAAAAAGAGCTGAAAATTTACTTCCAAAAGCATATTGTGCTTTTTTAATTTCATTTTTTCCTCAATAAATGATAAATTTGAAATATTTCCTTTGGGTTTCACTGTAAATAGATGAAGTAATGATGTTGTATTTATTTTTATTTTTAGACATCTCAGAGAAATGTGACTTCGGGATTATCTCAAATGCCCTGGAAACACAAGTAGCAAAAATCTTCCAGACGAAGAAGCCTGCATGGAATATGTTAATATATGGTAAGCAAAACTTGGGTGCTGAGTCCTATGAAAAGTGTAAGAAAAAAAAATTCTGTTGCTTTGGTGACAACATGCATGCTTACATTTTAATTCTAGGGCTAGCTGTACTATTTTTAATGAATTTAGACTCCTTTTGTCTTTTTTACTCCCTCTTCTTCAAAATGTGGTATTTGTGCCTTCATTATTTGTAATTGTGCTGGGAATCATTTGTCTAAAAAACTGCAGCTGCTGGATTTGCTGTAAATCAAATACTGTCTGCTGGGGTTTTTCTTCCTGATCACCTGAGTTATGTGGTGTTATTCCTTTTCTTTAGTTGAATGAAAAACTTTATAAACTGATGACTAACTAACTTAAGCTTCAGACAAATCTCATGTTTGAGGTATAAATGTACATAGATCAGAACAGATATGGGCAGCTGTACAATTGTGTCTGCTGAATAATATGGGAGTCGAAGTCAACTAATGCATTTATATGGACATGATTTTATGTAAAGACTCCTTTACCTACATAGAGAGCTTATTGCAAAAGGCTTCTTGGCCTATTTGGGTCACTAATAGTTTCATCAGATGTGTATATAGAGAGTTTTATACAGTTTGCACTGCTAGATAACCATATGTCTATTAATTAACTATATACTTCCTTAGCTACCTTCTCTAGTTTATTTGGTTGCTTTGGGGGTTTTTATTATGTTTTGTTGTTGTGTGTTTTTTTGTGTGTTTGATTGTTTTTTAAAAAGGGATTTTTGCGTACTCTAGAAATCCTCAGAAATTTAGAACACAGGAAGCCCAAGTTGTGTTGCTCAAAGCTCAGCCAAGGCCCTGCCTTGCAGGGAGATGAAGGATGTCTTGGCAGTCCCGTGGCCTTATCTGTATACTGGGTCTGACTGAGGCAAAGACTGAAAGTGGGTTGGTCAAGCTAGGATAAGGTTGTGCCCAGCCTTGGAAGAAACACTGCCATGAAATCTCTCTCTTGTAATGTCTTGGCTTTATCAGTCCTTGTGAAAAATCAAATGGATTGTGTTCAAGTCTAATAATAGGCAAGAAGGGCTGCTAATCTTAACTCAGTTCAGGTATCACAGAGGTTTAAGGATCCACCTTCTGTAAACCAGACAGCATTGTGCCTGGGGATTCTGCTGTAAGGTACCCCCTGCTGTAGGGGTACAGGGAAACTTATGGGAGAGTCACAGCCATGCTCACAGAGCTTCTGTAAACTCAGTTGCAGTTAAGAGGGAGATGAACTCAATGGTGGATTGGGCTATAGTCTAGCAATCTAGGTACCTAAACTCCCTAGCTTTCTGCTATGAACACTGTGTGCATCTTTTTTATCGAATTGCTTAATCTTTCCAGGTGCAGATTGGGCGTACTAGTGATTATGTGCTTGTCAGGGATGCTGTGAAGAAGAGGCTCGTCAAAAACCAGGCAAAGGCTTTGAAACAATGAGTGTGTGGAGATTGCACAGCTTGCAGCCAAGGAGCAGCAATGGGATGTAGGAGAAAATGAAGGCTTTAATTCTGAGTCTTGTAATCATTGGGAAGTTGGTCTACAAAAGAGAATAGCTTTTACTTCTTGTGCAGTTCATGCCATTCTGAGGGTCACATCACCTGTCTTGACAGAAAGGGTGGAATTATGTATTTGGTTATGGGGAAAACCATGTAAGGTTTCACTCCTTTTTGGATTCACCAGTGTTTATTTACACACACCTAGTGTGCCATATTGTGCTTGCCTATAGAAGAGCCTTCATCAACTCACTGGTGTAGTGGTGTGGTGGTCTCAGGATACACCAGGATTTTATAACTAATGGTGCAATAAGTACTGAAATTGTGAACCTGGAGGTATTTTCCAAGGGGCACAGGAACCTATAGGCTCTGGTCCTACAGTGCTGAGCTGGTACACACAGAGCTGGGCCCACAGGACACCCTGGGAACTGCACATTCTCCTCTATTACGCTGTGCCACAACCTGGGCAACACGGGTGTCTTGTTTGTTTGACACCTGGCCTCAGAGGAGGAGAAAGCCATGTGCATCTGTATGGAGCAGCAGCAAATTTTGGCACAAGAGCAGAGCAAAGACTCATATCCACACTTCTGAAGCCATAGAGGGGTGTTCTAATTGCTGTTTCTCATGTTATATACACATCTGTATTTGTTAAATATGTGACACAGAAATGAAGAGGCAGAAGAACAGAAAGTAAATACTTGGAGGTATTTCTCAGGGTTTTTGAAGACCTGTGAAGGGACTTGAAATATCATGCTTTTGTGCTTGCACACAGGCACAAATCATGGTGTTGCCTCAGGCTGAGCAGGAAGTGAGACCAGAGTTGTGTAAGCCTGATGAAAGGCAGAGCTCTCAGCTGGAAGTCACTATTCACTGGGTGGTTCTGGGACAGGCACACAGTAATGCATTGAAATGTAAGATGGATTATACAATGATTTGAATTTGACAGAGTTCAGATGGAAATGGAGAGAAAATTAGAAAAATCATATAATCCTTTCCCCATACAAACCTTGACTTGAGGTAGATATGGTGGAGCCCTCTAGCCAACTTCAATTAATAGTTACTGGACAGTCCCTCACTTCCAAATCGTCGTGTTGTAATAACTGTCTGCTATTTAAAGTCACAGAAAGAATATTAAACTGCTTCTGTCTTTGAAGTTCACAGGCAGGGAATCATGGTTACTAAAGACTATTAATTATCTCAGCAGTCAAACTATGCTAGGCAAAACTCCAGTATAAATGGCAGACAGCAAGTCTGATGTTATACTGCAAGATTTCCTCAGAATAATGTATACAAACCAAGAAAAAAACTGTGTGCAAACTCTAAACTCATTGAAACAGCCTGCAGAAGTACATGTATAAATCAAGGGTTTAGCAGGAATGTGTTTTTCTGAAGAAAGTAAAGGCACTTCCTGTGTTTAATTAACAGAATGCTAATTGGGTAAATGAGGGAGAATTAAAAGGGAATCTCTGAGTGTCTGTAAGAGACTGGTGGTAAAGCTGTTAGAGCTGACTATTTGACCTGTGCATGGAAATTGTAAGTCAAGAGCAAACCCTAAATTTGAGAGTTGTAATGAACACAAGCACGTTCAGAAAAATCTAGATTCCTGAGAATGAACATGCTTGGAGAAAAAAAAAAAAACAGATATTTTAGCTAAGAATATATGAATGCTTTGTATGGACTGACTTTCTTGCACTGACTGCAGTGTCATACCCCATGACCCTATCAGTAATATTCTTTCGGGTTTTTTTTGTTTTCTTTTTTCAATGTGGAAAACATTTAATGTGGGGGTTTTTTTTCTTTTTTCAATGTGGAAAACATTTAACGTGTTTGTATGCATCAGAGCTGAAAGCAGGGAGGAAAGGAAGTCAAAGAATAAGTTTGCTCATGGACAGTCACATTAGAAGATATTTGGGAAGGTCTTTATTCATAAGAAATGGGACCGTGGATTTTGCCATGGTTACCAAGAGTGTAATTTAAAAGCCTGCAGTCCTCGGGCACCACAGGTGGGAGTGTGATAAGTCTCTGAGTCCACAGCCTATGAAGAAGGAAAAAGAAAAAATCTCTGAGTCCGTCTTCGTATTTGGCAGACTGCTGAGGAGGTACTGCTCTTTGCTGATTTGAGCACACTGTTAGGGCAGCAGTGAAAGCGCTTACACACCTTTCAGTGGCACCGGGCTCTCTGGGAGCCGTGCGCGTGAGCTGCTTTGAGCAAACCTCCCTTGGCATTGATAGTGCTGGGCTGATGGAGAGAGGTTTTGCAGACTGAGAAGTCTGTCCTGCAGAGCTCTATTGACAACCCTGAGTCAATGGCCATAAAGTTCAGAAGACCATGTCCCTTTCTGTGACCATATACAGGTAAACTGCTTGAGGCAGTGAAAGCAGCAGTCAAGCAGAGAAAAACAGAGAAAAAGTCAGTGTTACAAGAGGTCTTCCAAAACACTTGCAAAATTAAATAAACTGTAAATGTGCAAAACTCATTTAGGTTATAGCTGGAAACAAGGCTCTGTGAAGCACTTCATTCAGTCTCTTCTTTTATATGTACATTATTTTAATGACTGGAAAGAGGCAAACTGATGAACATGGAACATAAGGTCCTCTGGCTCTTTAGAAGAGGAAAACAAAACACACATTGTAACAGTCCTTCATCCTAAGATATTGACAGCAGACTTGAGGTGTGTTTGCAGCAATGTTCTGTGTTTGATATATACATATATATATAAGAACATATGTATCTTCTTTAAAAATACATTTTTCAAAATTAATTTCTCAGCCTATAATTTAGTTCTGGACTGCAGATATTTTATTTCTCGGTGTATGCCAGACACTTCTCTGGCATGCTCTGACTCAGTGAGCCTCCCACATCAGCTCTGGGAAACAGTGACTGAGCCAATGCCTCTGAAATTAATCGGTATTATTCCATCAGCCTAGGGTGGCCCTGGCAGCAATATGTGTGTTGTGAAGGCCAGCAGGCAGAGAAATGCTGGGCTGTAACCCACGTTTACCCATCTGAGCTTCATTGCTTCAGTCAGTCCCAGGACAAAATCAGGATGTATTAGATTTGTGTAATAATATATTGTTTCTTCTGCTACTACCGGTGACAGCATTTATTTTTTTCTTCCTGTGTCAAAGTCATGATTTGGACTAAAACTGTGCATATTGCTCAAGCTACAATGAATGGTCAGAGCGAATTAACTGCATTGGCAACTAGTACATCTGATGAGTCTCAGGATCTTGGATTCATGCTTTGTTTTGTCCAAGACTGAAGTTGATGTTTAGCATATTATTGACCAAATTTTCCATGAAGTGACTTGAGATACATAGAAGCTTTGAGGACATAAATACATGCCAGATTTTGCACAAGAAAATTAAACAGGGTATGAAAACTCATTGGTGCTTGTGAGAGACTGATTGTATTTTAAATATGGATATGATTGATTGGGTAGATTGTGCATTTGTGCATATCTTGAAAATTCACTTATATTTTATTCTAGAGCCTGTGATTTTAATTTTTTTTTCAGTAAAATTGACAAAGGAATCTAACTTTATGAGGTGCATTAGGGTTTGAGTTGATTGAGCTGGCATATCACTGTTTTCACTCCAGAGATTACTATGATTATCTTTAGCTGCAGAGGAAAAAATAATAGCCCCAAAACAACCAAAGTTAAATACAGTTGCATGTCTTTTGGACGTTGCATGGATATTTTAAGAAGGTATACAAGTAGTAAGTTGTAATTGGTAAAATAACATCTAACTGAAACAGATACTATGCTTGGTTACTCTGTCCTGCCTCCTGCAGCTGGCAGATGTTGGTGGGGTGTTTGCACCTGCAGAGAGCTGTGTTTTCAAGGGCTGTGTGCCAGCATAGCATCTAAATGTCTCTTCAATAAGCTTGTCTTAGGATGAAAAACATCTAAGTTGGCCACAGCTGCACCCCAGCTGGCTCTGTTTGTGTCATACTCTGGCACAGCAAAGACTTCCCCAAGTCCTGTGAACCATTGCAGAGTCACCTAAGATTTTTGGCAAGCAGCAGACTGGAGCCAAAAGTAATAAGCCTGGCTGAGCATAAGCTGACTCCAAAGGAAGCTGGAGGGTTACCACTGCAATTTGATCCCAAATCATTTCCTTTTCTAGTTCAGCACTTACCAAATAGACACTTGAGCTGGCTTTCTGTGGAGCAGCTCTAATCAGGCAAGGTTTTCTGAAATCTCTTCCATGCCTTCGGAGAGTCGGCTTGGTGTTTCCAGGGCTGGATCTGGTCCTCATAAACATCATATTAGGCATAGGTTAATGAGCCCTGCTGGGCTTGCACAGGTCAGTCTCTGCATGTATGGCATGGTCCACCCCCAAAGAGAGGTTAAAGGGAGGACTGCATTGGTATAGGTTCCCTTTACAGGGGGAAGTTGAGGTGTGGTGGTGCAGAGAAGACGGTGTGACATTGGATAGAGGTACAGACCACAACACATTCAAGGGGCTTTCACCAGAGATTTCAGCATTGAGAGGAAGTGTTTTTGTTTTTTTACCATGTGCCATTTTCAAGCTCAATTTTCAAGCAGACCCCTTCCTCCCTGGTAAGTGTCCTTGGCTTAGTGAGCAGCAGAGGAAGAGCTCCAGAATTCTTGGTCCAGTGCTGCTGGCAGCAAAGCCCAGCAGTCGGACTCAACTGTGCACAACCCCAGCTGAGACTGTGGCTTTGCTGGTATCTATTTCCATGCAGCTTCACTGGATTACAGCTGATTCCAGTTTGTCTATATGTATTGAAATGATGGTTTTGACTGCAGCACAAGAGTACTGTTAAGATCCACACAGGAAACCTGTCCTAGGACAGGGAACCTGAGCTCACTTGCATTCAAAGCATGTGACCCATCCTTTGTTGCTGCAATAAGTTTTGTATACAAACATATATACATAATTACCTGAAACATGCATATAGAAACAGTCTCAAAGAAAAAAAACAACCTGTAATTTCATGAATAACAACATAGGACATAAAATATTTTCTTTCTGAAATCTCATTCTGTTGCAGGA